AACCGGTCCCGCCTGGACCGGCTGGACCGGTCCAGTGGACCGGTCTAACAGATTTGTATGACAAAACATCAAAATATTAAGATATTTATATATAATAAATAGGATAAATACGATAGAAAAGTTGTGTAAATTTTTTATATTATCCTGATGAGAATTTGCTGATGATATTCTGATCCAATTTTGTTCCTTTTTTTAAGGCAAAATAGGAGGAAGTACAAGAGACTTCTATAAAATAATATTATTTTATTGTTGACATGACTTCTTATATATATATAATCTCAAATATCGTTTATGGAAATGCTCCTTGTTCTTTTGTATGTAGTTTAAAGTTATAAATTACCCTGTAAGTGTGGATTTCTTTTGAAAACTGTAGAAATTTGAGTTGGAAACAATTCTGTTAGAATCCCTTAATAGTGCATAAATGGTGATCTTAAATATGTCTCACAGGTGCACTTATCTAGAATTTGTTGCACTGAAATGATCTTAAAATGAAGCCAAAACTCTCAAACAGAATCTTGTGAATGGATGTAAATTATGAGAGTTTAAAGGATTGAAAGATAAGTTTCTTGTTAAAGTATCAAGTTACACGTACTCAAATATAATGACGTGTGTAAATAACAGAGAATCCAAATAACCTTTGCGGTTTCATAAAAAAAATATTTTAAACGCAGCTAAAATTTTAAGGAGAACCTTTGTGATACACTGAATTGATACTTATTTAAACAGTCGATTCATTTAATGCTTTGTAAACTTTGGCACCCTCTGACACCTTTTCATGCTTAATAAGGTATTAAAACCATGTAGGTTTCTTAGTAACATGCATTACTATTCCAGAGATATTACTAGAGTGCAAATGTTTTGAGTTTGCATGATAAAATTTGGTTCTTAGTTCTAAAAAAATATTTGTTTAAAAATTGATTCTTTTAAACGAGATGGTTAAAAAACCATCAATATTGAAGATATGCTCCTTGACAAGATTGTGGCTTGCATTATGACGATGCCAGGTGAATCAATCAGAGAAAAAAAAAGGTGTTTAAAGTCCTCAAATTAAAAGTGAAAGAAACAGAAATAGTCAACGACTGGCTGGTTATAATTCAATTCTCTGGTACACTCAGTGCATGGTTTTCAAAAGAAATATCAGTTATGCATGGTTTTCAAAAGAAATATCAGTTATTACTTTTGTATTTGAAAGAAGGACAATATGCATTGAAAAGTTCTTTCATGACAAAGGAAACCAAAAACAGTCTAAGTTGCAACTAATTGACTGTTTGAAAGCATTTGTTCAAGTTTACATGTTAAAAAGCGATACTGACATGATATAATTGCTGAAGTCAAAATTGCTCCTAAAGAAGGATGTGTAGATTTCATGCGGTTCCAGATTATTCCTATTAGCTACAATTTTTGACTAAATAATTTCTAATAACTAATTGAGAAAAACTGAAAAATCAGTCATCGTATTTTGTTCATGGAATGTGATAATCAGCCCAATTGGAGTTTATGGAGTAACTACAAAAGGAGATACCTATCTTTAATTATGAATAAGTATTTTAAAACTTTATGTAATTATTAATAGCACTATAATTTGTGCAGACTAAATTATTTAGTAGGATTTGAGCTTTAGTAGGGGTTAGGGGTGTAAACGAGCTGAGTAGAGTCGAGCAATGGCGCTATCGAGCTCAGCTCGTCAGTTAGAACACCAGCTCGAACTCGAGCTAGAAAGGTGAGCTTGAGCTTGAGCTTGTCCCATTATAAACGAGCTCGAGCCAGCTCGTGAGCCTCGGCGTAGGTCCGCGTCGTCTGGCCATTCTGTGACTGCATCGTTCTGCCCAACCACGTTGTCTGCCCGTCATGGGCGGTTTTGTTTTTTTATTTATGTGGGCTGGATTTTGAATTGGGCGGCGGCATTAAATTCAAAAAATAAGAGCAAGTTTTCTCCAACCCGTTTTCCAAAAAAAAAAGAGCAGCTGACATTAAATGGTTCAGGATACATTTAATGCTTTAATATTTAATGTTAAATGTTATGCAAATGTCAGATTTTCTCTAGCCCGCCCAAATCATTACATTAAATGCTTTAATATTTAATATTTATTGTTAGACCAAATTCAACACGTTTAGGCGGGATTATAAAAAATTATTTTCATGTTAATAATGATTTAGGCGTGATTACAAATAAATATTTATTTTTAATAATATTTAAATTTATAAATAAAAAATAATAATATTTGAGCCGGCTCGCGAGCTCTCGAGCCTCTCGAACTCGACTCGTGAGCTCGATAAGCTCAGCTCGCAAGCTCATAAACGAGTCGAGCTCGAGCTAGCTCACTAGCTGGCTCGGCTCACTTACACACCTAATAGGGGTGTCTAAGAGACCAACCACTCGACCCAAAAAATACCTTCCCTCTATTGATCTATCATGAACTCGACCCGATTGCACAAACGGTTCCGAAACCTGAACCCGGAGCTAACTCGCTAAAAACTAGGGCCGACTTGACTCGAAGAGCTGACCTGGGCGAGCGTTCATCAACCGCCGGGTCGAGCGCGAAGCAAGTGTGACCTTCCCTCTATGCTAATAATGGATGTAAGTTGTACATTCATTTATGGAAACTATCATAAGTGAGTTTAAATGGAATAACCACTTGGTTATGTTTCTCATGTGGAGAACTACATATGCTTACTCAAGTAGCTCTTTTATGGACTTAACAAAGCCTACATGCTTGGTTTGAAATATTTTGTAGTGTCCTTGTTGAAATTGGCCTTTGCACTAGGCCTACAAATCATTCCAACTTAATTAGACATACGTCATTAAGTTGTGTCATACTGATTTTTTATGTTGATGACATCTTATTTACTTGGAGTGATAAAAAATACCTTTTTGAGCTTAAATAACATTTGCATGTGTTTTTCCTTTAAAGACATTAGCCAAACATAATATTTTGAAGATAAATTTGCCTAAAACAAAAAGAGAGTATGATGTGGAACGTACATGCGAAGATGAGCTAATTAATGAATTTGCACGCTTAATATTTAGAGCACAATAATTTTAAACTTTATATTGATTTTGAACGACAAAAGAAAACAAGAAGAGCGGTAAAACAAGTTTAGGCTAAATCACATGCATAAAGGTTAAGATCGTAAAACAGTCAATTTAATCTAGCGTTGCATACATGAATGTGTTCAACAATAAATCCCATTGCTAACAATAAGATTAGTCTCTACAAGAAGATCCTTCACTCAACTTTTTCAATTTCTAGGCATTAGCGGAGAAGTATTAACATTATCTTCATGACTATAATAATAATCACAATCAAGGATGTAACTATGAAGATAGCGAATCAGATGTTGAGTTTACCCAAAGACAAGAGAAATACGCACTCCGGCAGGATCGTTTGAGTGTTGGGGATGACTAAGACAGCCACCATGAGCTTCCTCGCACCACCGATTAGCCAAGACAAGGTGCGGATCTTCAAGACAGCAGCAGTTTTTGATCTGGACAGATTCTGGACATCAATTGGAACCTTCCGGATGAAGGTATGGTGCTAAGAGATATATAGAATCAATGGACAACAGATTGTGGGAGAGCAGCCAGCAGTTTGAAGGTTTTAGGCGGCAGGAATTCAAGTTTCCCTCGCTGGAATTCTTCCGGATGCTGTTTGGCAGTAACCTGGATTTGTGGGCAGCAGGTCAGCAAAGGGAGAGCTCACCAAGACTGCTGGTCAGCAATTTTAATGCTTTAGAAAATTCTGGACAACACTATATAGCAATCAGGAAAACTTGAACTTGGTGCTGTTTGACGTTGGAATCTTTTGACTTCAATTTGGGAATGCACTGGGTACAAAACAACAATGTACAATTGCTGGAATAGAGATACAATAAGCATGAAACCAGCAAGTTTTAAGATACCGTGAAGGGAATTAAGGAGGGGCAGCTAGATTGAAAGTTTGAGAATTTTCAAATCAGAATTTGGGAGTAATGGAGATTAGGAGGAGCCGGCTGATTAAGTGAGCATTAATGAGTTGATTGGAGGCTTGATTAGGAGCATTAATTAGACGATTAAATTTGAATTAATTTCAGATTTGAGAGGTTGAATGGGTTTCCTAAAATAAGATTCATTAATATGGGATTAATTTGAATTTCAAATAATTTTGAATTCAAATCAAGAAGTTTCCATATTAATAGAAAGATATTTTAGGAAAGTAATTAAGGGGGATTTGAACCTGATTATTAATTTGTTTCTTATTCTATATGATTATCCTGTATGATCTCTATCTTTTGTTTTTTTTCTAATTGGTGTCTTTGCTTCGTATGCTTTGTTTTTTACATGTAAAAGGTTCATTGTGTCTGAAGAGGATGACATGGAATCAACATGGGAAAAAAGGCTCGTTAAGCGTTACTATGACAAGCTATTCAAAGAGTATCCTTAGTACAATATTCTAAAATCTACTTAGATTTGTGGCGCTTCAAATTCTTGATTACACATTTTTACGTCCAAGTATTATTTACACCATTATTGAAGCTTAGTTTTGTTGTTATGTACGTACTGGCTTCTTGAAAATTTTATATGTTTGTCCGTACATTCACGAGCTTGGAACTTTTTGTGGAGGCTGTTGTTTCTTAAACATGGTGGATTAAGTTCTCACCAAATGGTGAATTACCATGGCTACTTAGTGTCTTAGAAATGAAAATTTAATGATGGATTCTTTTAGGACTAGGAAGAATATTGTGAAATGATTGTACTTGAGATACCGTAGTTATTTTAAGACAACACATGCAGCAATTAAAGCTGACTTCAAATGGTTGGATATGTTAATTATGGTGTTGATAATCTTGTTGAATTATGTTCCATTAAGTTTGTGATTTATTTAATATCCTGTTACTAAATAGCTTTGTGATTCAAATAGATTTACCTAGAGAATTAACTGGATCTGTTGGAGCTGGTGATTATACTATGTGTCTCAAGCTGAAGTACCAAGTTAATCTTGCCTCAATTATTCTTGGAGAGAATAATTGTTGAGTAAATATTATGTGCTTTGGAGCTTAAGTAATCCACAAAAGAACAAGTAACTTTATGCCTGAATTGCAGTGTGACTTGCTTGCATCATGCATTTGCGTTTTGAATTTAATTTATTCACCGTTTTTTATTCCATTTCTTTTCCATTTTCCTCTATGTGACTTTCAAGTGTATTCTGAATAGACCATGATATCTTCTTCTCTTCATATAACTTTTTATTTTCATAAGAGGCATCAAAGAATAAATAATTGTTTTGCTTAGAAATTCCAAAGGCGACTAAAGCTGCTTAAAAACTAGCCACAATTCTCTTTTATATGGTATTTATTTTGGATTACTTAATAATCGATCAGCATTACCATTACCTTGATTACAACCATTTTGACAAGCTTTTTTGCTGATAACTATTTTTCATTTGATTTACTAGCTTTGCTGTACCCTTTTTTGCATCACTTTTGATTGATCCATTTGATCATGTAAATTACTGGCTTAGGGACATCTACATCACTTTTATCTCTTCAATATCATGGGTCCTTGAATTTTCTTTGGAATATTGCTTGTAAATAAAACTAAATGAGGGTTGGGCACAACAAATATTACTATTGTATGCTTGATGTAAGTAATTCCTAGTTTAAATGTATGAATTTAGCCATACAGGCTTGCTATGAGATCAATTTTTATATTACCCAAATTTTTGGCCAATGATTTGTTTAATGAATTTCTTTTTTCTAGCATACGAAGCCAAATTTGCTGCTTGGTTGGCAGTTACTGCTACTTATTTTCCATCAATTTGTGTTTTCTATCCCCATTATTGTTTCATTCAACATTACAAAATGCTTTTCTTCAGTGCGGGAATCCTTAACTTTTGCAAGATACTGCATTGCTGACATGTCTCAATACAAGAAGGGCAAGGTATGTGCGGACTAAGAATTTACCTTAATTGGAGCTTTTTTGTCTACATTAGTCGTTGGTTGCACTTTATTCAAGAGAGTCCCTCACGAACAAATGTTAAATTCTTTATTAGTTTTTCCTTCTAATCAAAAGTTATTTTTTGGTGGTGTTTCCTTGTTGTTAAAGGTTTACACTTGGAATTTTAAGCTTCTAAAACATTGCGATGAACTTTCGAAGTTATACGTTAGTAGAACAATCTATTACAGTATGATAAAATTTATGAGCAATCAAAGAGACATAGTAACTTATGTTTGCAATTATATTTTCTCAAAAGTTGGCTTGCTTGGAAATGTGTTTTAAATTAGTTGATAGAAGCATGTATATTTATTCTCCTCCTAAAGCAGTGGTAAATGCGCCAGGGGATGGGATCTTCCATTGTAGATCATGTTTGTATGGAGGTAATAGTCGAATTTCACAAAGTTCTTGGGGGTAATTTGATTAACGCATAGATGCTATTCCTGAAGCAAGCCTTCCACTTCAGCTTTTAACGCAATGAAGTGCAGTAGGACTAGAATCCAACGATGAATCTACTGAACCAATAGGGAACCAAGCCTCAATAGCCACCATTTCCAGGAGAGTTATTGAAATATCCATCAATATTCATCAGAGCCTGGAGGAGTAAGCTATTCGAGGCATCAATTGTTTTGGTATCTTAGATTTGAAAGATATTAGCCAATTGGAGCAACATCTTGTTCAATGGGGTAGAGGGTGCACCCAAAACACCTTATGGAATAATTTGTTAGTACACTTGATTGAGAATTGGTGAAAGTGTTTTGATGAAATTTGAAGCTTTTCCTTCAAGAAAGCATTTTTATTAGTTTGTTGAGAAAGTTTGAATGAGCTAACCTCCACAAGAAGCTGAGGATTGAAACAATGTTGAGCTTTGCTCGTAATCGAAGACCCAACATGGAAGAAAAAATAGTGCTCCATTATCGTTTAATATGGGCATTATGTGAGGAGGTGATTGATAGTTTCCATCTGGCTACAGTGAACATGCATGAAGGGTAATTATGCCTTTTGATTGAATCCTATCATCAATGAGAGGGTTTTTGTTTAGATGCTTCCACGCGAAGAGCGAAAATTTTGTTGGCATATAATATATTGATAATTAGGAAGGTAGAAAGACTAAACTCCAGATGAGAGTAGAGGTCGAATGTGAATTGAAGCAATCCGAAAAGGTGAGAGTCCATACAACTAAATCTTTATAATCAAAAGGCTGATGTGGAATGAGTGAGAATGAGCTATACAAGGTCTGGCGGGCAGAGGGTATGAATGAGATAATAGTTCCAAACACTATAACGACTCTAAATGTTCATGATGTGAAGGTGCAACAAATGTGGAATGGGTGGATAAAATATGTGAAGTAGAGCCACGCCACCAAGAGGCCCACCAAATGGAGACATTCTCATTGGGAACCAAACACCCGATTTTTTCTTTAAGAGGGGATTGAATGTTGCACAGAGAATTCCAAGCAGATGAGCCAAAGATGGAGCTGATATGATGATAGTCCTTGTTGTCTTTGAAAGACATAAACCTTGCCCAGAAAGAGCTTTGTGAAATTCCCAAACAAATTGATGTTGGTTGTGTGGCACGTCCCAAATTCTTGTAGAATGAGTCACTGATTGTCATTAATTTCTAAATTTTGTTTAAAAATTTTCAGAACTAATAATGACTATCTTAGGAGTTTCCTAGTACCTTTTTTTTTGTGGGGTGGGGGTGTTGGAGGTCATGTTAAGAAGATAGCTAGTGTAATGTAAAGAACATGTTTTATTGAGCCTATGAGGGTATTTTTGTCGTTTGATAAGGAACTTTCATTTGCCAAGCCAGCTGTCGAATTGCAGGGTAAGGTCACTGAAGAAGTGACAAAGAGCATTCCCAATAAAAGAGGGATAGTTTTGATATGCTAAGGCCTGGCATCAATAAGAAAATTTAGTGTTTCTTGCAATTATTTGATTTTTTTTAATAAGTTAACTTTAAATGATGTTAAGGTTTTTTTGTTATGGGATGATGTAGACTATGAGCCTATATGGGTAATTCATCCAGGTTGAGAGTGAATTTTGTTTTGCCATCTTTAATCAGCTGTCAAATTTTGGAGTTGAGATTATTGAATAAGTGATAACGGGCTTTTTCAATGAAAAAGGGTTATTAGAGATATGCCAACTGCTGATATAAGAAGGAAATTTGGTTTTGTTTGCGATTATGTGATTTGTTTTTGAGGTAGCTTTGATGATTTTGAGGAGCTTTTGTTGTAGTTGAACTTATGAAATGAGAGTTTCTCATAATTCATTATGAAATTGCGAAACTAACAAAGGCTTTATTTCACTCCATTAGTGAATATGATAGTGTCATTTGCAAAAGACAAACAAGTAATGATATGGTAGTTTCAAGGGAGATGGAAATCGTGTTACATATCCAGATAGTATGATAGTGTCTTCTGCAATTGACAAATGAATAATGATATAGTAGTTTCAAGGGAGATTAAATTGTGTTTCCTATCTACAAGCATGGATGTATGATAGGCTTTTTGAAAGGACATCTGATGCAATCAAATGAATCACAAAATTACATAAACTAGGAAATCCTTAAAAATACCACACTTAAACAAAACAAAATACAACTTTGATAGGATAAAGACGATACTTACAAACTTATACCATAAAAACTCCTAAAACTGCTTTCCATTGTTTGAGAATAAAGATATAAGTGGCGTGGAACTTGCAGAGAGAAGAAAGAGATTAGAAGCCCCAGACGAAGTCGAAGAGAGGACAAGCTCGCAAGCTTTCCCAAGAAGAAGAGAAAAGGAACAAGCTTGCAAGCTTTTCCAAGAAGAAAACCCTCAGGTTTTTTGCTCCAAAAATTATGTCATATCATCCTCCTTTTTTATCAACAAAACATCACATATATATAGCTAAAAAGAGGCAGCCAAACAGCCAAAAATACCACCAATAGAACCAATCAGGGCAAAGGAATCAGAAGGCCAACAGGCTGCCGGAAACATCAGCCAAAGGGCCACACAAGGAATCGGAACAGGCAGCCACGAGAGATAGGAACGGGCGCTCAAAGGGAACCAGAACATGCAGCCACGGGGAGAGGAAAGGCAGCCACGGAAAGGGGAGCCATGTGGAGGAACTGAACGGGCAACAGAGAGGGGGAATAAACCTAAATAAACTCAATTTATGAGCTAAAAAAGAAGCAGCTCAGCATTAATGAGCTGGAGGAGAGCAGCTCCCAAAAACACAGCAAAAACATAACAGGTAACCCCCCCCCCTCCCCCTACATCAACATCAACAATGGTAATGAATGGATTTAGCAGGGAGATAAGGTCAACTTGCATTAAGCCTCTAGAGTAGTGGAAGAAGCCATTGTGCTTATCACTCAACAAAATCGTGTTCTAGTAGTTCGTTTTGGCATTCAGATCAAATTTATCCATTGAGAATAAAATCTAAACTTATGGAGAACTTTGAACGAGAAGATTTAAGACATTTCATTAAAAGCCTTGGTCATATCAAATTTTTGGTAAGAATATTTGACAACAAAGAAATCATCCATTTTTCAAGGACTTTCAAGATAATTCTATTTGTTTAAGTTATATAAGTTGATAGACCTACAATTAACTATAGTTGAAGGTTTATCTCCTTTAAAATTGTTGAGATTATTGTGAATATGTAATTTATTATCTCTCTTCTAAATAGAATTGGTTCTTATATATAGGAAAAAACATGAAATAGAATGAGAAAAAAATAATATTGAGTGTATTCTTAATTAAGAGAATATATTACATAATAATAACAGAGTTAATGAAAAAATATTTTCATTCTTTATTTTTCAACCTCTTATGAGAACACCATACCTTAAGCTGGAGCATATATATTATAATGTCTGAGCTTGTTGCAAAGATCACATAATCAAAGTGATCCTAGAGTCTTTATGGAGATTTTTGCTAAACATTTCTTTTTTAGGGACATGAGAAGTGATGATCTTCTTTGATAGAATGACAACCTTGATGAAATGACTATCTACCTCAATGTATGTTATTCAGTCTTGAAAAATATAGTTGCTTTATTATAACACTTAAAGAGACACGAGTTGAATAACTTAAGAGCCACTTTTTTTCTTGAAGTTGGTCCAGTCGATACCTTCTCTGGACGGCCAAGATTGCAACTTCCTTGTATATTATATGTCTTTGGACCCATCAATGCTCTCCATTGAGCTCGGGTCGGCACTTTGTTATATTGCTAATATGCTGCTAACACTATTGATTCCTTTGTCTGCGAGACTCGTTGTGATTCCTCGATTTTTTTCCATGGAGGTTTAGGGGAGTTGGGTAGAAACCAAAAGAGAGAAGCGATGGGAGGAAGAAGCGAGGAGGTTGCAAGCTTGGTTTTGGCGCACTTGAGAGAAACTGGGATAAATGAGGGAGTGGCAAGTCTTCACAATTTTTTTCTTTGAAGTATAGAAATGAGGGGCAACCTGATGGGTATGTGTGATATATGGCATCACGTTAATGCAATGCAATTTGGGGCTGTACATGGATTTGATGGTATTTATTTTTGAAATAATTATTGAAAAGAAATAAAAGTAACATGTATTGATTTGTGCAATTTTTTGTCGCTTGAGCATGTCGAATTTTCATCCTTGCCTTGCGTTTGGGAAGATTTTCTGAATTATTCTTGTGTGAAGACTCGGGAAATATTGGTATCCTTTTTAGCTATTTTTGGCATTTTGAATGTATCTGCAAAGTGTGTACACAAAATTGGTGATGATTGTGCGATTTTGATTGCGGCTGAGGGGTTTTCGACTAAAATTTCATAATTTCATATGCGTAATATGACATTTTAGTTGAGTTTGATTGATTTAGTTTTGAAGTCTCTTCCTTGATAGTTACATGCTTCGTAAAATTGGCATAGTTAGTTTCATGAAATGGGCGACAATTTTGTGGTTTTACTAGACATCATGTCCATTATCTATAATTTTTATTATGTGTGATCGAATTGATTGATGGGGCCTTTTCTTGGTAATTTAGACACTCTAGAAGCATATATTGATGGATGATGTTTGAGTGATTTTCACAGTGATTGATGCGTTTCAAATTTGATTCATGTGTTGCTACATCTGTTGGCTATAGTTTCGGTCAATTTCAATAGGATTGATTTTTGAGAAACATATGAAGGTCAATAGCTCTAGCTCTCATGACGTAATTCAAAATCTTGAAAATGAATGTGAGATACGAGATCACGACAGGAAATTGTTGGAGGTGCGATAGGAGCTTGTTGAAGAATGCATCGAGACATCGAGGGTGGTGCACAACTTGCAATTAGAGTTAGTTGGAGAAGGCATAAATGGAAGCAGCGGGGGAAGTCATGACATGTGTTCACTAGGGAAGGCATTAGCGAGAGCCTTGATTTTTGAAGAAAAAGAGGGGATTCACAAAGAAGAGTTCATAAGACGGAAGTTCCATCATAGTAGTAGGGCTTGAGCTCGAAGATAGGATTGGTGGCGAATTATTTAAAATGAATGGGGATTTAGCATTTAATATTTATTTGAGGCAGTTTGCGATCCAACTAGCTAAGTATCATCGAGTTTGAACTTGAGCTCGTATAATATACAAGCTCTAATATGAGAGTGAGCCGACGGCTTGATATGCTTGATTCATGAGTTGGTTAATAAGTCAAGTTCAAGCCGGCTTGGCTCAATTACACCCTAGTAGCCACTCATATTCTAGAAGCTTCCGAGAGTTCTTGTTAGCTTTGTTAGCACCCCAATCCTAATTTTTTTTAGCAATGCATTAAGAAGATACACTTAACAGCTTGGCCTTGAAAGATTCATAGTAGCCTCATCATGTCTGGAGGGAGAACAAATTGCAGAGGAAATGCTGAATAAATAAGGTTTGTGGAAGTAGTCTATGGTAAGATGAGGTATAGAAATTCAAATCTGAACTAGCAACGTCTTAGGATCTATTTGAAAACAATATTTCACTTGAAGATCCTCATTTGGAAAACCTGTGTATACCATGATCTTCTCAGATTACTCTAATGGAACATCTCTTCAAAAGAGGGTTGGTGGAGAATGTAACCGTTACTGTGCAAACCAATAGCACATAGACCCTTCCAGTTAAGCTTGGCGAACTCCATAATATCTTGTAAGTTCTGTCTATACATATAAAACCGACCATTACAATGGAAAGGAGCTGACCACTAGATCACTTAAAAGGGAGAAATGATGCTATGACATTGCCTTTGAACGTTGATGGAGTGCGTACTGAAAAGTAGGGACTGTGGGTATGCCATTCAGGATGGAGGCAAAGGACTTCTTAGTTGTGGCGTCTGAAGGATTTGATGTCATTGGGGGGGGGACTTTTAATCCAAATAATACTAATAAAAGAATAAAAATCTTACGTTCTCCCAGTCGGCGAAACCCTCATCCATGCTCACCTAATCCTACTCTCTCACTTTCGCTCTCAATCTCTTGGTTGGCTCGATTGCAGACGCATCCTTTTCTCCCCCTCTCTTCCTTTCTAATTCTCTCGATTTCCTCCCCTCTTCTTCTTCTTTTTTTAGTTGCTACTTTCCCAATTTCCTTCGCTCATCTGTTGAACTGGAAGAAGTGAAACCAAGATATGACATATGAGGAGTCGCTACTTTTCATTTATGAGGACGTTGCAATGTTCGGCTCCGGCATCTGCTCCCACGTCTGTGCTCTATCCGTTCAGCCTGCTCAGTTTCGCGCATTCCGCTCGTTGGATCATCTGTCTCGGTCTGTTTTATTAACTGGCCGGTTCGCTTGAACCGGTTCTTACATGGTACTTTTTACAAATTATAGTGCTTGTATGTTATACAAATGGATTTATCTGTGTGAGTTTTGCATTTTATTAAAATTTGCATTTCAATATTATAAGTTATTCTAAGAAAACCTCATTTTGATTGTATTTTAATGTTCTCTGAAATTGGTGCCTCAAATGCTGACTATCTCAGTTCATTACTTTTGCTTTGCCCTGCTTGGGGAATTGTCACCTATTGCCTTGATAAGTATGAACCGATGTGTATAAAGTTGACACTTTACTCCTTTTTGCGTCTTTATATCACATTGTGTACATTACTAATGCAGTTGGAGTGACCCCGAGGATTGTTTTTCCTCATGTAGATTGGCCTGAGATGGAGAACAGAAAAAGAAGTCATTTCTGGGAAAGGTGCTATATATGGAGCTAATCCTAAGTTTTGTCAGTTGAAATCTCAATGTTTTAATGCTTTGGCTAGCTTTACTTCCAACTATTTTTCAAAAAAATTCCGTGAGTAGCCCAACTCTTCTAAAGTAGTATGTGCTAAACAGCTTTATGTATATCTGCTCGTTGGGTTGTTACTATCGGGAAATCAATTGTTTTTAAAAGGATGGTCTTAGGCAGATAAATGCATGCAACTATTATTCTAAAAAAAAAAAAAAAGTTTGGCATAAAAATGCTTAAATTGCCTAAATAAATATATTTTTTTCTTTTTTTTTAGCTATAGTTCTAATAATTAGTTGTAACTGTTAACTGTCAAATGATCAAAGTGGTCATTCTATATATAACCAGTTCTTTAGTAAACTAATGTTAGTGATGCCTTTTATTTGGTCAAACAGTGCTTGATTTCAAATTCTTTAGAAAATGTCTAAACGAAAGTTTATGGGAGCAACTTGCTAAAATAAGTACAAAATTTTAATAAGCATGTTTTCATAAGAACTTTACCAAACAAAAAATAATGGCTAATAGTTCTTGAAAGAATCTTTCTGCAACAACCCCTTAGTTAGGTTTAATTTTATTTTATGTTTTTTTAGTTTTTGTGATATTGTAGAGGATATTCTGTGAAATTCTTATTGATTTCAGTATGCTGGAATTTGCTCTACTAGGGCAGTTTATTTGTGGTAACAGACACTGTGATGAGAAGGATGGCTTAGGAAGTTATGAGGTACACTTCTTCAACTTGCTTCATTCAATTGATTGTGCAGCAAACATGTTTTTAAGCAGGTTATAATGGTAGGAAAGACCTACCTTTATACTTCACTGTGCATAATGGACTGATCTCCTTTCAGTTTTCCATAGAAATTGCTCCACTAAATCCCTCTTCTCCCATTTCCTTAACTTTCTCTCTCCATCTGAAGCTTCACCTTCAGTGTGACCTCATTTGACCTCCCTGCATTCTCTGGTGTGTTAGGCTCATCCAAGGGGAAAATTAGGTGGAGGGTAGAAGATGTTTTCTCTAATTGACAGTACAGTTAATGACAAGAATCTTTATTAAAGAATATTCATTTCTGGGAAATATAATCAATTGTTTAAAAAATATTGATCTGCTTGAAATTATCCCTCTACCTCAGGATCCATATTCAATTTACAATTTGTTCAATCTGATATAACAAACCTTTTCTTCATCATTATTTAAGTTTTGCCTCTTATATCTTCCAACCCCTCAATGTTTCATATTGCGTTCTTTGGTTTTGTTTACAGGTAAATTTTTCGTATATTGAAGCAGAAGAAAACAAGCAAGCTCTTGTCAAATTGGTGGCTTGCAAAAGGTTTTGCCTTTTTTTTTTGGGTTGTTGTTTAAATTTATTCCATTTGTTTTTCTGATGATCACCTACAAATTGTCATGCTACTTTTTTGTATAATTTCAACTAGCAACCTCAGCCTCCCATCTTCGATGCATATCTATTGTTAGATCTGTATATGCTGTTGTTTTACACTGTTGAATTGATAGCTATTTTTAATGCTTTTATCAAATCATTGATACCATACGCTACTTATAACCTGAATTAGTAGGTATGTTAGTTTTAGTTCTTTCAACTTAGGTGCAACTTTTTGGAGATATGCTCGGATGGTTCTTGACAAGAAACTATTAAGGGTTCTGGTCTGCATCCCTTTTTTAACTTGCTTATGAAATTCTTTCCTTGCTCATTTAGCCCGACCCCCCTTTTACTCATGGCTTGGCCATCTTGCCTAGTCGAGACAAAATAGAATAACAAGTTATATAGTACTTAGGGGACATAAGACAAGGCACTATAGCTCTCTTGAGGTTGGCCGTATGCCTCGTTAACTTATATTTTAATATTTCATAATTAGATATGTGGTTTAAAAAAGCAAAAATACAAGAAGTTCAAAATTCAAAGTCCACAACTATATTGTTTATATTTTGAACTCTAAAATCTAATTAACATATAAAATCAAGCAAAATGAGGCATCTGAACTGATATACGATGGGAGTCCAGTTGGCGCGGGGGCTTTGAAGAAAATGAGCAGCAAGTCGGCAATGTAAATAATGAGTATCAAGGAAGTCTTTGCAAAGGGAGGAGATTGAAGATAGATGACATGCAAGGGAGAAGAAGGTGAGTCAAACTTAGAGCTTCAATGTTTCCGTAGGCCTGTAAGAGAGAAACCGGATTTATGGGACTTAACTCTTAATAGATTTAAAGGTAAATGCATTTTTTATTCATAATTTTATTTAAATAGGGAGTTATAATATTTATATTAAATCTTAATTGTGTAATTTGAAATTTTAATTTGGTTTAAGTTGTAAAAGTAGGAAAATCCTGGAGCAAAATGAGAGATAGCTAACTAATATCCGCATTGAGTCATTTTCATTGATAATTTTTTTTGACACATCAGGGTTTTCTCTTTTGAAGTTAAAAAACAAAAAAAAAACCATAGAGACTTATGTTTCGATCAGTCTTTTGCATATTTTGCATACTATAGTCGGTATTTTAATGTGTAAATGTTAATGCGGTAGCGTTACTTAAAAAAAATTAATTATGTTTCTCATTTCATGATTAAACTGGGATGTAAATTTATTTAAATTCTGGAGCAATTGAAGTTTGATGTTAGAAGTAATCATAAGTGTTTTATTGCCGTTTTATAATTTTTTTAATCAATTTTAAATTCATCACAACTTTACTTATCGTAATATCATGATATTTACTGGATTATGTTTAGATTTCTCTATTCTTCAATATTGCATTGAAAGAAGGTGATTTGTTTTATTAAGAAACTCAGAACGATCTGCACGCTCTCCTGAAAATGGGCCAACATGGGATATTAACTCGTTAAAATTTGTGGTCTTGCTCTACCAGTCTACCTGCTTTAGTATGGGTTGTTGATTAAATTCCTCCTACTGCTCCTAGAAGTAAGAAAGCTAAATTCTAACTAGAGAATTAAAACTGTTGGTAGAACCAGAAAGATAAATTCTAAAATGAGAATTAAAATTGCTCCTAGAAGTTGAAGAATTAAAATGTGTTACCAGCGTTGGAGAAGATTTAAGTTTCATGGTTTCTCATGCTAAAAAATTTTTTATTTTTGGAAACAGAGTCTATGAAGTTTCTTGTTCCTAAGTTTGTTTATTAAACTTTGAACAATAGCATTTTCCAGTGTAAGTTTTGAAATATTTCTCTCTCAACGGTTCTATTGCCCAACATCTTTTAGTTGTTTGTAACAAAAGATGATGCGAGCTTATTATGAATTCAAAGGATGGATTACAAAAAGTTTCCACTGCAATTCTGTTAAAAAAAGTTCTAAGAGTGTCAGCAATTAATTGATTGTGACTTTGAATTCCTACCCATTAGGAATCCCAAGGCATCCTCCTGTCATATTTGTGCAGAATTGATACTTCTATTTATAGAACATTAATGCACTTTGAATCATGATAAATTAGCTACTTCAAGCGCCAATTGGTTACTTGAGCTTGCATCTGAAGTTTATTTCAACATGCCAGAAAGCGTTTTTAGAATTAAATTTATTATTTATGGCTGCCTTCTCTGTGTTCCTGAGCAGCCTATATGTATCTGATTTCTATCGAACTTTAAAGGTGCGCAGAGAAACTTGTTTATAATAGAAACAAGGAGAAGGAGAAGTTGCTTAAAAGAGATCAAGAAGAGATCACAAGGAAGCGGTATAGTGTGAACTGAACTTCTTTGAGTAATTACTTTTTTTGTTACTTAACTAAGTCAAGCCTTGTTTAACTTCTCAATCAACATTCGAGTATTCTCTCTATCATCAGGAAAAAGGTCAAGGATGATGAGGGTGCTAGTACTGGTGAAAAATATGACATGAGTCCTGATGAAAAAAAGAAAGGTTTGCTTCTTGCTTACCGTTTGCATCCTAGCCTTATATAGCTTTTTCTTTGTTAATTTTAGAGGAGGAACTTGATTTGAGTGGATCTTGCTTTATCCAAAACTTGTGGCTGTCGGATACATCTTAGTGCCCTTAAATTAGAAGTGGTTTGATTTTTCTTTTGATCAAATTTAAATTAAGTCGAGTTGTATTGGGGTGGAGGCCTTTTGTCTTACCCCCCGAATTGAAAGATATGCAGATGAACCTTTGTGTTGCTGCCGCACTTGAACCTTCAATGTTGCTGTTGCAGCTTTCTATACTCATCCGGTTAATTTCAAACATTTTGTTTGAGATGCTGGTCATCTTCTTCATTTTATCATGCTGCTATAGTGCTTTTGATTTATTGTTACAATAAATGTGATATGGTAGTCTGGTAAGTCATATGAGTTTATAGGTTATTAGGCCTATTGGATTGCTTAATAGGGTTATCATGGGTCATATATAGCTGTAAATACCTTGCCTTAGTGTAAATTAGACCGTGAAATCAATGGAAATAAACAATCTTCTGTTGCTGTGAAATTCTGCTTCCTCCTTCCCGCTCTCTCAATCTTGTGTTTTATTGGAGTTGGCAGTGAACTACAATTGCCATTTATTCCTATCCCCAGTAGGTTTGTATCAATTGGTGCTCTCATGGAACTTCTCAACCTGGTGGTCGCTGTTGCATTTTTATAAAATTTTGCATCATATAGCCTTTGATTGTCCCTATACTGAAGCTCACATTGCACGTCTTCTCAATCCAAAAAAAAAATCAACAAATCATCATGGATCCATCTTTCCATTGTCGCCAAATCCCTATCCAGTATCCCTCCAAATCATGATCATCCAATCTCCTTCGCCTTGATCGATCCCCATTATTGTCAATTTAGCCCATCCTCAAGACATGAGTGTGGGTTTCGAAAATTCGCGCCCCAGACTCTCCGTGGACCCCTTTATCTTTCTTCAGGTCATCAATGAGAGTTTTAATGCTTACGTTTGTGGTCTCCAAAAATTCGGCCCCGGCCTCCCCGCTCGCTCTTTTTCTTCTTTTTTTTATTATTCGGCGAGGGAGTTTTAACGAACTAAGTTCCGGGGTAAATTTTGGAAGGCAGATGGGTTTGTAGATAAGACACTACCTAGAGATTTCGCCCTCATTTTGTGAGGACTTTATGATCTGAGTTCTGGTTTCCTATAGGCGCAAGCCCCTATAGTTAATTACCCCTCCCGATCACGAGAGAGAACTTTCGATTAAGGCTAGTCGTCAATCAGATACGTATATAATACGTGGTATCTGGCATATAGTAGCAGCATGAATTTGGGATTTATACAATTTGTAGTGCACGTGCAGGGGGTATTTTTGGAATATTTATAGACGTATTCTGTCTGCTTGTACGAATGTTGCAGATCCGGTGGCGTGGCGTAGCAGCTTCTGGATGGAATTATTCGCTGCTTCGTACAGGTAGACTGTCGTGCACTACTCGTTGCTTTTTGCAGGTGGATCGTAGTGCACTAACTAATCTCCTGCCTTGGCTGTAATGCTTGCCTCTATCACAACTCTTTTACTTCTTTGCTCTGGGTCTTTGATCTTCGATTGCACTTCTAGGCATCGGGTCCCCTACGAATACTTGTAGGTATTTGCATTTATCACTGTCGATCTCTTTTGCTTGTGACCAATACATTAGATGCATAACAGATCTTCTACAACAGGTTGTAGGAGCCTATATCTGTTGCATATCGTCTGCTTCTGCTTGTGGGGAATATACATGTATTCTTGCCATAATACTATTGCCGATGATATGGGTGATTATTATTGACTTCTGCATTCGTTATGCTTAGTAGATATATCAGATCTTCAGGCTTCACCTATGATCATATTAGTGCATTTATATTGTACATTCCTTTCAAATTGGTTGGGGTTTACTGACATTAATTTGCAGTCAAGTATTTTGTCACTTATCGATCACGAATCTTTTGATTAATCATTGATCTTCATACCATTAGTTGCTAAGCGAGATGTAGGATTTTTGTCCACCACGGATCATTGCTTATAAACAAATTACAATTGAACTTCTGCTCATCATAAGTTCCACATGCCTTCGTTTGTCACATATTTTCCACATTCTTTGAAAGGGGATCAAATCTCCGTATGCACATGTAATTAGATCAGTGTGTTCATTACAAGTCTCTTGATATTGAGTGAAAAGCTTACATTGTTGACTACAATCATGGTATTGCTCAAAAGAACCCAAGCTTTGATTTTGTAATTGAGTTTGTATTCTTAGTAACCTCTTCTTATAGATAGGTTATGAACACACATTTCTTATCTCTATTCATGATTAGTAACATGTAAGAAGACCCTTTGATATTTCAATGAAATTCCTTGTTGTCGATTGTAGACATATCATTGCATACGAATCACTATGAATTTGTCGTTGTATTCAGTGCATGCCTCTTGAGTGCGGCAAGGTAGGTGAAGGACTCCTCTCTCTCTCTCTCTCTCTCTCTCTCTCTCTCTCTCTCTCTCACTCTCACTCTCTTTGGATCGGAAGCAGCAAGGAGGGGGTCGGCTTCCTGGTTTGGATCGGGCAGAACAACGACAAGGGGAGAGCGACGGGGAAGAGATCGAGAGTGGGGTGAAACAGGGAGAAGAGCAGCCGAATGCTCTCTTTGAGCCGGTATTTAACGAAGAGAATGGACTCTCGATCGAGGAGAGGTCGCAGGATTAGCGGAGGAAGCGACTGTTTCGGCGCCGAATTCAACGGGATATCAGGAAGGCCTCGGCGGGATTTCTGCCGGCATTCGTGGATCCGATAGGTATTATTTTGATCGATTTTTTTTTTGTTCCTTCGATACAGAGGTTAACAACGTTCCGAGCCAAATTGTCATAAGGCATATTGAGTTTTAAATACGACACTAAACAGAGATTTCGTCCTCATTTTGCGAGGACTTTATAATCTGAGTTTTGGTTTCGTATAGGCGCAAGCCCATATGGTTAATTATCCCTCTCGATAATGAGAGAGAACTTTCGATTAAGGTTAGTCGTCAAACAATATCCGGTATATAGTAGCAGCATGATTTAGTATTTGATAATTTAATATTTAAAAATGAAAATTCACCACCTTGCACTTGAAGTGGATGACGAGGGTTATGATGATGAACCCGATCAAAATTCTATGGTTCCATCATCCTGGGTCATCATGGTCCCTGGTCTACTAGTCAGAGGAGATAGTCGACCCAACCTGACCGAAAGATCCTTGTCGGTAGGAATGAGTTGCTTCCTCCAATGTACCTGGTAGACCTAGGATGAATATTTTTCAGAAAATACGCTCTCGCATCGCTTTTGTAAAAAGCTCAACCAGCGAGAAAAAGTGTTTAGCCCAAGCCAAAAAAAGGTTGATCCACTTCATTCGCTTGGCAAATGATCATCGCTTCGCAGGAACAACAAAAACAACCATCTTGTTTTTTCCTTACTTCGGCGCTACCTTTTTCTTTCCGAGGGATGGGGTTGGGGTTTCTAATAACCTTTTTCTCCCATGATTCTATTTTTATTTTAAAAATATATTTTTAGGAATCAAATGAAAGATCAATTATGATCTTGTCCTATGATTCTCTTTCCTAATTTTTGAAAGAACTATTCTCTGATGATTTATTTCCTAAATTTTAGGAAAGAATTAAGCTAGTTAGTTATTTACTTTATTTGGCATATATATGTAGATGTAATACCCTTTTTTGAACAAGAGTAATCAATTAAGAAATTATTTAAAAAGTCAATTACTTTGTACAAATTTTGGCCATGACATGTGGTTTTTTAGTTCTACGAAAAATGATTGGCGCCTTGCAATTCAGTTAGATTTTTAATAAATGTCAAGCACGTGCTTGAGGACCTTTTGTGATTTAACTGGTCATCCACATATCCTCTCTTACTCTAATGGTCCAATAGACAATCCAAGATCTAACTCTAGTACTTGATTCAACTAAAAATCCAAGCATCTTCTCTTGCTCCACCACTTGATTTAATATTGCATGTCCTTTTTGTTAAAGATACTTCAAGCTTGGCTAAGATGACTCCAATCACATTGTAGCAGTTGGTGGAATACTTCTCCTTTTTGCCAGCGGACAACAATCTAACTAGCTCAAATTTTCCTCTTGTTGGCATTAGGGCAGATGCATTGAGCAGGATATAATTTATGAGACATGCATGGCCATGAGACGCCCAATAAATGCCTTGAGGCTTAAATTTTTCGATGTAAGCGAGGCTTATGCCTTGAGGCAAACACCTTGAATAACATTCACTCTAAAGAAGATACCCTTCTAAGCTATATATAAGGGGGTTTAAGTTTCTAGATATAGAAGTTAGACCAATTTTGAGATTGAGTGCTACATTTCGAGAGGAGAACGAACACTTGCGAGTGGGAGTAGAATAAATCAACTAAACTTTAATTTGAATTCAAATCTAACGTTGTGTGAAATTGAATCTAATATTAGCAATCCATTCAAATCTAAACCTAATATTATATCCCCAAGAAATAATAAATCCTAGTAGAAAAAACTTGAAAAAAAAGGCCAAAAATTAAAATGGTACTTAAAGTTTATAAAAAGGGATCTTGTTCAAGTTTTAAATTATGCAATAAGGTATTGCATTTTCTTTTTATGAGATGAGGTGTAAGCCTGAAGATGTTTTGAGCCATGACGCTCAAACTTAAATCATTAGATTAATTTAAGATGGTAAAGATAAAGCATTTGAGTAATTCTTCTTAGAACTTGATGTGTAATATGTGAGTTGCAGGTTATGGTCACGATGATATTAGGGGAAGTAGAGTTTGTGGATATTATGAGGATGCTTATGCAATTTCGGTTTTGCAAGAAGTAGATTGCGAAGAATTTTAGGGTACATATGTGGTGGGGTAGCGACTCGACAAATAAAAATAAAAAGAAATGAAGAATCAATTGTACCTCACTTGAATACCAAAATTGATAGAAAAAGAGAAAAAGAATACTCCAAGTACATAACTTGGATCTATGGAACACTCAATCAACCTCATAAATAATCAAATTTTATTTACATCGATGTTCTATCAAAATCCAAGTCATCAATCGTTATTTATAAAAAGCCAATAGTTTGAATTAAAATCTAATCCTATTTGAAATTAATCTAATATCAACAAACCATTCAAATTTAAACTAAATATTATTTAAAATGGATAATTAAATCTAATGGAATAATTCAAGAAAAAAATATATATATATATAATTTCAGCCAAAAATAAGAATAGGCCTGAAGACATAATGTGGGCCCAGTTCAATACTCTTATTGGCTAATTTTACTCCTTTAATTAACCCATTTCCAATTAAGCATTTTATGGGCTGATTTGACCTTCTTATTAGTTGGCATTCCTTTATCAGTTATGAATTGCATTGATTTGATGTTTTGGAGCAGCAGAACAGGTAGTAGTTTGGTGTGCTGGTGCACTACAAGCGTCCAGTAGATGAGACAGAGAAAGAGGTTCATATTTATCTCAATATAAAATAATAAAACCTTAGGCAATTAAAAATTATATTGCAAATAATCTCAAAATATAAATTAAAAGTTTAAAATTACATCCACTAATAAAAAAAAATCAATCATGCTGTCTCTTCTTTTTGTACCAATAAAATTGCAAAAATAACATAAAATTTTGACATTTTAGTAGTAAACTATTGTAGCAAGAGCATTCTTTTTGTGATTTTATCTGTTTACTTATTATTATAATTTACTTGAAAAGATTGGTGTAGCTCCAATGGCAGATAAGATTAGAGAGAGTCGCCTAGATGGTTTGATCACAACAAATATTGGTCTTCTGATAACCCGATTAAGAGAGTATATGTATTAGATTTGACCTATGTCAAGAGAGGCAGAGGTCAACTAAAAAGACTTTGTTAGAAAATATTAGAAATGGCTTTTTTTATTTGATTTAGGCTTTGTTTGAGACGGCTTTTTTACTGTTTCTTAAAGCAACTTTTCAATACAAAAATTGAAGTTTTTTGTATTGAAAAGTTGCTTTAAGAAGCAGTAAAAAAAGTCGTCCCAAACAAAACTTTAAATGAGAATTTGACTTGTAACAGGACACGATAGAGAAAAAGGATTCATGTAGTCGACATCACAGAGTGAGATAAAGGCTTGATGTTAATGTTGTTATATAATTTAACTCAGCTGTACCATTTAATCTATTCTGATCAATCTTCTGCACATTATATAAACTTGGCAGCTCGAAAGATTACATCTTCAAGCCGAGATGCAAGGGCTGATGAGGAGGATAAGGATCTCGAAGACTTTCTTGAAGGAATGTTTCCTTAATGGTACTCTGTCTCGAAGACTTTCTTGAAGGAATGTTTCCTTAATGGTACTCTGCAGTCAGTTCTTCAATCTGCTACAGATATCTTTGGATTCAACAGAAAAGTTCAAAGGGTGATCTAAAATGGAAATATTTGGTGGCCAATGCCGTGTGTTATAGGGTTTCTGTAGATCTGGATCTATTGTGTTCTTCATTGTAATAAAATTATTTATTTTTACAAGAAAAACAACTAAAAAAAGGCTTGCTTAGTTGCTTATATTATTGGTTTTTTCATAGCTTGTATTCATGTCCAGAAAAAGAAATCTAACACAGGATTGTAAATATTATTTATTTTTTTCATGAACGAGCATTTGTTAGCTGTGTTGTTTTATTATCTTCAAAAAATTTATGGTGTTCTATTATTATTATTATGTCCATTATATTATATTAAAACAAATTTGATATTTATTACGTCATTATGTTGAATCTCGGTCGAACAATTAAACCGTTAACCTCTACTTCATTTGATTTTTTGTCCGGTTCAGTTTTCATAATTTTGGTTATTAATATATGGTAATTTTTAAAAAATAATTATTTAATTTTTTTTAAAAAGAATATATTAATGTTGTCCGTAGTAATTTTTAAGAAATTCTTATAATTATTATTTTTACAACAATTTTATTATCATATTTATAAAATGTTGTAGTCATCTCAAATAGATCATACATATTTAAATTGAATGAACTGTTTATTTTAATATCATTAGTTAGGATTATAATAGGTATCTTAAGCTTGTAGTTTTCTTACTATTTTGTGAAATTATTGTAGATATATTAATTCTTTAAAGTTATAAAAAAATAGATTTTTATTATAATTTTTTTTAAAAGCACTGTAAAGTAGTAGCTAAATATATATATATATATATATGAAAATCAAAGCAATAAAAAATCTGTCATAAATAAAAGCTTAATATTATTAGAAAACAAAATGATAGAGAGCTATAAATATTTGATCTACAATGAGAAGGAATGCTGATATATATGAGAATATTATTTATAAAGTTAGAGGTTGTGAAAAATAAATGTGTGATTTGAATATATATAATAGAGGATATACTATGCAAAAATAAAAGATTGACATAAAATTATCGTTAATAACAGTTTAGGAACCATAAGTAGCTCATTGAAAGCGTTTTGGATAGAAGTTATGTGAAAGATTCACGTCGAGCGACTCCTCGAGTAGCTCGCGAGGTTTTCGTCCTGAGGTCCGGTCGCATTTGCTAGTTCCATCCAGAGGTCCGCTCAAGGTCCTGATGTTGCGTTCGCCAATTAAGTCCCGAAAACGCATCTAGCCTCTCCGAGGTCTGGTCGCGTTTGCCAATTCTGTCCCGAGGTCCGCTCGAGTTCCCGAGGTCGCATCTCACCGCTTCGTCCCGAGGTTGCATCACATGTTCCGTAGTCCGCTCTGTCTCGAGGGTCTGCTCGGACTCCAAGTTTCTTTTTCATGCCCGTCAGAACTCCGATTTCGTTTTCCTGTCCGCAGCCTTAGCTCCACGAGTTGCTCGACGAGCTCGCGAGTCAAGCTCAGGGCTGTTCGAACTCGAGCTCGATAAGCCGTCGAGCTCGAAATCGTGTTCGAGCTCAACTCGTCAACTCAACAATCTCGACTCGTCGAGCCTGTTACCAATTCGAGCCTAAACCGGCTCACGAGTCTACTTAACTCGGTTGCACCCTTACCTCCAACACAACATAAATAAACGGAGAACGAAATTCATAGATTCAATCATAAATAGTCGACATATGGCTAATGATTCTGAAAATTAACCGAATAATATATAGTTAGGACGGATTTATAGCACTGATTAGGTTCCCTCCATTGATATATTAAAGTTTGAATCTCCAAAATCGCTATCTACGTTGATTACAATAGAAAATTCATAACGATTATGACGATGAAAAATTCTACCGACGAACCTTCAACAACATTAATATCACCGATGATTTGAACATAAATACCAACAGAATCTCCTAAATTTCTAACGAAAAAAATCAACCTTTTTCTTTTCTTGTTGATATTTTTTGTGAAGAAGTAGCATCAAAGCCTAACTAATGAGCATGTGGCGAAGTAATTTTTGTCAAAATTTATCAATATCTAAAGCTTCAAGAGGAATGGCGTGGAGGCTATAAAGGGGCTGAGCTCAGTTTTCCATTCTTTCTTCTCTCTTGCAAAAACAAAGAAGAAGCAAAGAGGCAACGAAATATCTAACATAATTAGGCAGATGTAGAAACAACTTATCTCTTGTTTGAGGGATTCACATTCATGACTATTGAAACTAGCTTAGTTACATATCTAACATGTCAAATTATCTATTTACTAAACTGCCACTGATCGATACTCTTTAACGAGCGAAGAAAGAGGAGAGGAAGTCGCGACATGATCTCAGTGAGGGAAGGACGTTGATGGGACTGGTGGGGTGTGAGTGACGAGGAAGCCCTTGACGAAGAAGAATAAGAGATGATGAAGTCATGATAGGGTCTTATTAGGTATGTTGGGCATCGACGGGATCGAGAGCGTGCTAAGATTATAAAGACTTATCTCATATTTATTTAGTCGTTATGTGGAGTTGCCGATGAATTCAAATATGTTGTTTATCTATGATGCAAGACATAGTTATATGAGGTTTTTCTTTTTAACAAAAAATAATTGGGACAAGTTGATTTTAGATTTAGAGGATTTATTTTATGATAAATGAAATAAAAATTTTTAATGACTTATTTATACATTATATTATCTAAAAGTAAATAAAATGGTTTTGATATTTATCCTAATTAAATTTTGAGTAGGGCATCATTTTCTATAAAAAATTTGTTCTTATTTTTTTCTTGGTTTCTAATTTATCTTTCACTCTCTAAATATTTTATATTTAGAACATCAAAAACTACTTAAATTTTAATAACATTCATTAGATGCTAATCTTTTTAATTAAAGAGCATTATATTTAAATTTAGGATAAATTTCAAAAGTTTAAGATTAAATGGGATGTAAAGTTATATGTGGCTACATGATTAAAAAAGATTAGGTAAATAGCCCACCCATTCTCATTTTGGCTCATTTTTGGCTCCTATTTATAAATGCATAATCATACACATATAAGTTTTTTTAGGGTCATAATATAATTATATCTCATAATAATAATATTTTAAAATAAGTTGAGTATGAGCCAATAAGGTGAGTTGAGTAGAAAGAGATTAGGACCACCCTCATTAATCTTTCATATTATAAATAACTATATAATTACCTATAATCAAGATTTTACATCATCTACAACCATATGAGGACTTATCTAAATCCCCTAATTCCACCACTACCTCTACTTGTAAGCTTAATAAGCTCAAGCAATGCATTGCTTAATGAGCTAAACTAAGTAGGCTCACATGTTAGATCATTTTCAATTACACCCATACTCTTTGTTTAACTTATCCATTAATCCTTTCTCGTGTTTGCTTTAAGATTAGCAGAAATACACGACTCATCTTGATCTATTAGTTGGAAGCTTTAACTACCAACTAAACAGCCCTGATGTGTATATCAATTTGTCTTAATTAGCCTAAATAGAGAGAGAGAGAGAGAGAGAGAGAAGAAGAAATTAAATAAGCCATATAGTAAGTGCATGAACCTTTGATACTTTGGTATATGTTGTAAGCTAACAATCTGTAATAATGGCAAATTAGTAAAATGATACGGCATGTATGGAAAGGTCAGTGACAACACTAATAAGGTAAGAAGGAATTATTCACCCATTTCCTAACACAATTACATCATATTTTAGACGTGAAAGTAAAAAAAGTATGATGTTAGCAATCCTTTCGTCTACATCATCTTTTCTCAACAACATACCTTCTTGCTCTTGCCGAACATCACCTAAACTTAGATATCTCACCATAAATGTCCTCTCTCTCTCTCTCTCTATCTCTATCTCTTTCTCTCTCTAAGAAAAGTGAAGAATAAACGTATGACATGTTTGTGTATAAAAGCATATCAACATGAACATAATTCCATAGTCATAACTGTATCGGTTCTGCTTCAAACATTTTAAGCCACACATAATCTCTGACTACTTTGTTCTGAAACATGCAAATGGATTCACGAAATCTTCTTTTGGTCTCCTTTGTCTTAATTTCTGTTCACAGACTCCATTGTCGTACCATGTCACCTTTGTTCACTCAACAGTTCAACTCTCATGTTGAGGTTCCTTCTCCTGCCATTAATCTTCAGAAAGTGTTCAGCGTCGACGATTTTGGCGCAGAAGGCGAAGGAAATGATGATAGAGAGGTAAGAACAATCTAAATAGTCTATCCTGAACATAAAATCTCATAAGTAATACTTATGACATGTAATAATAGGCATTCATGAAAGCATGGAATGAAGCATGTCATTCTGATGTACCTGCAACATTTTTGGTTCCTGAGAACAAGAGATACCTTCTGAAGCCAGTAAACTTCTATGGTCCCTGCAAATCTATCGTTACAGTGATGGTGAGATCAATAATATTATCAATGTACCAAATATTGAAGCATGAAAACCCAAAAAAAAAAAAAAACCAAGCTAAGTTTTCTGGCTTAATTTAATAGATCATGGGGGCAATCGAAGCTTCATCGAACCGTTCGGATTGGGATGACGACGGTACTACTGCTCACTGGATCTTATTCAGCAACATACAAAATCTCATCATAAGAGGGGGAGGAACAATCATCGGCAATGGTGAAATATGGTGGAAGAATTCATGCAAGATCAATGCAAAGCTTGTATGCCAAAATTTTCTACTCTTCAAATAGTTTTACTTAAACTCACCTGGCATTTTTAACTTTGGAACTAATAAATTCTTCTCTTCATATTTTGCAGCCTTGTACAGTTGCTCCAACGGTATGATATGAATTTGAGAGATTCAATTCTGGTTATAAATGAAAATGATGATTCTTAATCTTGTTATCTATATATAATATAGGCTTTGACATTTTTTTCATGCAATCAACTAAGAGTAGAGAATCTGAACCTTATAAATAGCCAGCAGATTCATGTCTCGGTTGAAGAATGCACTGACGCTATTATTTCAAATGTAATGATCACTGCACCAGAAGAAAGTCCAAATACTGATGGAATTCATGTGAGTAAAACCAGCAATATACTTATAAAAGACTGTGTAATTAGAACAGGTAAACCTTCAGCTATCACATTCAGCTCAATTAACTTAATTAAGAAATAAAAAAAAAATTGAGTTTTGATAAAGGTGTTTCTTGCAATTAAAAATCAGGCGATGACTGCATATCAATTGCTACTGGTTCACAAAATGTCAGTGTTATGAGTATAGTTTGTGGTCCTGGTCATGGAATCAGGTAAATCTATTTTTAACTTAGAGAAATTAATCTAGATTAATTATGTAAAGTTTTTTATATGCTAATACTCTGAATCCTTCTCCTTCTATGTGTGAAATGTTGAATTTGGTATGGAAATCAGTATTGGAAGCTTAGGTGCCAATAATTCCCTTGCTGAGGTTTCAGATATCATTGTGGATGATGTTACATTGGAAGGTACTACTAATGGAGTCAGAATAAAAACCTGGCAGGTAATTAGCTGATATGTATCATTAATTTTATGAATTCTATACATTGGTTGATCAGTAAATACTTTCAACTTTTTTTCTCTTAATAATTTTATTTGAGTGAGTTTACATGATTTATTAGTTCATAGGATTTTGTTGTTTATGTTCAGACTTACAAAGGAGGAGAATCAACAGTCCTTTTGATTTAAAATTATGATATTTCAAGAAATTAAAAATCGTCCATTCTCTTTAGTACTTTTTTTTTTTACCATTCTCTTTAGTACTATGTATTCTATTTAACATCTTTAAAATTAAAGATATATTTGATTCTTTTTTAAGAAAATTAAGATCTTTGGATTACTAATGAAATGGATCAAAGTTTTCTAATAAAAAATTTCGATTGTATGAGAGGATAATTGTAATTTTTAATATGTAAATTATTTCAAATGGCCTCAATTATATACATGGGTTATTGGTTATATTTAGAATATATTTATTAGTTTTAACTGATAAAATATATGGATAAATCTTGATTTTTGAAGGTAGCATTTATATTCATTCAATCACCCTTATTTTTTCACATATTTTATAAATAATTAAATAATTTATAAAAAAATTTGAAACTTAATCAATTAGTAACTTTATGTTGTAAATGAAAATCAAATGTGTAATATAAGTAGAAGACAGTAGAAATGATATGATTATATTAATTCCAACATCTTTAATCTTCTGGAACATCAAGAAAGTAGAGAATTTTTTATGAAAATATACAAATAGGAGAGAATTAGGTAGACCTGAGTAGAAGCTTCATGCCAATTGTCTCACCTCAAGCTAGTAACTTAGCCAACTTCAAGTAGTTGTGCAAGGCTGTTAGTTTTCAGATAGAGAGAAGGTGAAAAGAAATTATGGACTGTTCACTTCAATAGTAATAGAAAAATTGCATTTGATGCTTCAGGCTTCAGTTTTGATTGTGATTTTATTATTTCTTCATTATGAAGTACTATAAAAACTATATTTAAGATATAAAACATGGATGATTAATTGGGGTTCAAGTTCTAATACTCATGAAATTTAATGAGATTTTTTATGGCTGATCAAAAGTCTCAGTGAAATTTCATTAAAAATCTTTAAGTTTCCAATAGAAACTTCTAGTTTTGGCAAAACCCAAAGAACAACTGAAACTAGATATATTGAGTTTCAGCCTAATTTCAACAACTATAATATATATATTAAAGAGTTTCAGATGAATTCATTGGTGTGACAAAACATATTCACTTATTTTTTTACTTAACGCAAGCAGGGAGGCCAAGGTGATGTAAGGAACATTGTATTTCAGAATATCATCATGCGCAATGTTTATAATCCCATTATAATTGATCAAAACTACTGTGACTCCCTGGTTCCATGTTATGAAGAGGTAAGAACACAAAGTAACATTAATGTGACTAAATTCTTGCATATTTATCATTTACTAAATCTAATGAGACAAAATTGATTTCAGAAGTCCGCAGTGTTGATAAGCGGTGTGATATACATGAACATCAAGGGAACAAGTGCTTCGAAAGTTGCAGTAAATTTTAGTTGCAGTAGAACTCTTCCATGCCAGAACATAAAGATGGAAAACATTAGGTTGGTTGGAGAAGGAGGGCAATCAACAGAAAGCATGTGCAGTAATGTTATGTTGTCAAAGAGTAAGATGGTTGTCCCCCAACTATGTGTCTAAAGCAAAAATATCATTGCAAACAAAGCCAATAGTAAAATTTCAGCTATAAAGATAATGTATATGTAGATTTACAATTATGTTACGCCCAAATAAATGCATTTTTATTTCTATGATAATGTTCTACTCTGATTGGGTGACTTGGCCTGCCCCTCAACCCCTTATCATTTTAGTTAGAATGTAGAAGATAAACTTCGAACACTTAGAAGTCACAGTCTCTGCTGATTCACCATTTAAGTAACAAGTAGTATAAACTAAAATGAGATTTAAGATAATAAAACTCCATCTTATTCTAATGCCCCTACTAAAAAAAGATTAAGTTTATTAAATACTTCGTTGGTAAGTTAAATTGGAGCATAACAAGCCATCTAAAGGTAATATCTGGTAGACATTTATTAGAATAGCTTCTCAGTAATTAACCTACAATCCTACGTCAACTCCTCTCAAAAAAAAAAAGATTTTGCTGGTCATTTGAAAGGAAATACTTGAAATCAAGTATTTCCTATTCACTTCTTGCAACAACTCTCCAAGCAAACTGCTGTCCGGAGCAAGAAAACAGTGAAAACAGCGGAAAAACTGAAGAAAAAACTGAGAGAAAACGTAGGAAAACAATTGTGAACGCTTGTATTCCACTAGTAGATGCAAACAACAGGCAAGATACAATTTCCTTCAATTTGAGAGGAAGAAAAAACTCTCCAAATCTCTAGCCGTAGCCTAGAGCCCAAGAACACAAACCCTAGATCTCAAATAAAATTCAAATTCAAGATAATCCCCCCTTTTCCTCCTAACCTCCTAATTAACCATAAAGGAGTTTTACAAAATGTCTAAACAGCCCCTCGCATTCAAAATTTCCCTCCCAAAACTCCTCCGTGGCCCCCCGTTGGTTCCGCTCGGTTCCGCCCCTCCCGTGCGGTTCCGTATCGAGTAGGTGAGGACCGGTCCGGGTTGGACCGGTCCAGTATTCAATATCCCCATCTATTTCACCATCACTTTGAACAATAGATCCAAGATATCTAAAACGTGTACTCTTATTAATGACTTGATCGCCCAAAGTCACAATCCCTTCAGTAGGTCTATTACTACTAAAATTACACTCCATATATTCCGTTTTAGATCTACTCAAGCAAAAACCTTTAGACTCTAAGGTTGACCTCCATAATTCAAGTTTACCTTCAACTCCCTCTCTAGTCTTATCAACAAGAAGAATATCATCAGCAAAAAGCATACACCAAGGTACATCCTCTTGCAAATGTCTAGTGAGAACATCCATGACTAAAGAAAAAATATATGGACTTAAGGCTGATCCTTGATGTAATCCAACCCAAATAGGAAAATACTTGGTCAAACCACCTTGTGTTTGAACACAAGTAATAGCTCCTGCATACATATCTTTAATGATTTAAATATAAGCATTATTAACTCCTTTCTTTTCAAGAACTCTCCATAGCACTTCTCTTGGAACTTTATCATATGCTTTCTCTGAATCAATAAATATCATATGTAGATCCTCCTTATTCTCTCTATATTTCTCCATCAAACCTCTCAATAAATGTATGGCTTCCATAGTAGACCTACCCGGCATGAATTCAAATTGATTTTGCGAAACATTAGTATCATGTCGCAACCTACACTCCATAACTCACTCCCATAGTTTTAAAGTTTGATACATTAACTTAATTCCTCTATAATTCACACACTCTTGTGCATCACCTTTATTCTTAAAATAATTTAAATTAAGGTCCCACAATTTAAATTTTGAAAAGGAGATATTCTAAATCTCCTTTTCTAATTTAAATTTCCAAACTTAGCAACCCCTATTAATCACTCAATTAAATCCCCATCAAGGGGCCGACCCACCCTTCCTCCCTCCTTTAATTGGAGAAGATTCAAATACAAACTTTTCCCTCCTCTTCAACCATTAAAATCTGAAATTAAATTTCAGCTTTTGAATTATCCAATCATGACTAACTTGGTTCTACATCAATAACCTTTTATATGAAAAGTATATTCAACAAAGACATATTTTAAGGATCAAGACATTAACTTACTATGTTGGTATTTGGAAAGATGATAGCCAACCCATCTGAAGACATGAGGGGGTAGGCTTGGGACTACTAGAGCAACAAAAACTTCAACGAGCGTTTGGAAGGATGTTTTGAAATTGATAGAATGAGATCAAACCCACTAATGAGTTATGCGTCATATGAGCCTCGATGAGGGAACCATCAGTAGAATAAGTGCATTTTTTTGTTCAGCCTCACCATTCTGTTAAGGTGTATCCAAACAGCTGATTTGGTGCATTGAGTCATAAGAGTCCAAAAGTTGCTAAAATTCATAACTATGATATTCCCTGACAATGACATTATCACTTTGAAATACTTGTAGTCGGGCATTATACTATATAGTAACCGTGTTATAAAATTTCAAAACAGTAAGTTAACTTCTGATTTGGATTTACTAAATCCTGTGGTTCGGCGGATTTAAGATTTCAAGGCACGAGAGAGGGAGGGAGTGGAACCTGGCTTCCAGCATTAACTTACAAATAACTGCCTTAAATTCGATTACATTGCCGAACAACTCTAGAGGATTTAACCCTTACATTACCAAATAATTTTCAAGATTTAACTTTAGCAGTATTTACTAAATCGAGATTTACAGGATTTAGTAAATCCTATTCAAGTTAAATCCTACTATTTGCCAAACAGCCACTTAAAAGTGACTCTCAGCTTGAATAAAAATTGGAATAATTTCGATTCCAATAGATTCCTTCTTGTCACCCTAGGACAACGAACCTCTTTTTTTATCTTCTTGTCGTGCCCCGAACAGAATGATGGGTCCGTGACGGATGGTTATGTTGAATGCTTGCACTAGCTACTCCGATGAGATCTCCTCTCTGCGATCTACGGTAACCTCGAACAACACTTCCTTGATGCTGCTCTTGTAGATGCCTTCAACAACGACTTCCTTCACCGAAGTTTCACAAACAATATAGCAGTTTTTTGGATTCCAGAAGCCTGGCTTTAAAGCTCTGATTTATGATTTTTTTTTTAAGAGAGGGATTTGGGATTTTTGGATTTTCGCATTTGGGCTTTTAGATTCCTGGCTTTGGATTTGGATTTTTGGATATCAAGAAAGGGATTTGAGATTTGGGATATTCGGGATACCAAGGGAATAGGATTTGGTGTTTCTATAATTTAGGTTTTGGAATTTTGAAACGAGATTTGGTTCAATCCTATACCGTGAAAAATGAGAGAGAATCGAGTAGAAATTTTGAATCCTAACAAATGAATACATAATTAACAGTAATAAAAAACGACGAATGTACAATAAATATAATCAAAACACATAAATTGCAGAGGATTTTTTTCTCGCTTTACTTTAATGTCCTTTTTTTTCCGAGTTCTATCACCATCCCTACACTTTCGTGAATATAACTTATTTTGATTTGAAAAAGAAATACTTCTACAACTGCTTTAAACAAGGAGGAAATCAAACTTCAAAGGGAGCACTGTTACATCAATTCAAAATATATTCTAACCTCTTGAAGATCTTCGAAGCCCTCTTCATACTGACCCCCAGATTCATCAACGTTAACTGCTCCGTTTCTCCCCTGCTTCTTCTACGAGTTCACAACCCGCCGCCGCCGGCCTACCTAGCCACAAAAAAACAGAGCTTCTCAACCCCATAGGGTTCACGCCAGCCGTAGGCAGCCGGCGAACAGAACTGTTGCATGCACCATTACCATGGTACGAGCTGATAAACAAAGAAAGGTGCTAAGGCATAGCACTTTATGTATCGGGGTATTTACATACATGTCCCTTTATTACGTATATATTATATATTTAAGATCTAAAAGTTAAATATTACATTCTTATCATTCAAATACTAATTTTATAACAGAAATAGCACTCCATCTTCACTCCTAATCCTTCCGCATTCCAACCACCGTCTGCCTCTTCGCCGCTGGCCTTCAATATCCTCGCCGATCGCCTTCGTGCCCAATTAGAAACTGACGATAGAATCATTGTCCCTAGGGATAGCTTCCAGTTTTGCGGAAATGGCTTTGGATGAGATAATTTGAGAAGAAATCGTGGAATTCAAGCATGAGAGGTTTATGGAGGGGGGATCAGCATGAAAAATATATATAAATAGAAGTAGAGAGATCAATTAGCTCCTTCTTTACACTTATTTCTTCAAAGATTGAAGTCTTTCCACCCAATGTGGCATTTAAACAATCAACATGAGTGATACGAAAGGGATTTTGATCTACTCCGCCATTTAGTACATTATTATCCACACCTGCAGAAAAATTCATCCTAATACCACTATCTAAAGTTTCTTTGTACACCATTTCTCAGTTTCCACTAACAGTTCCGACAATTTGAGGATATGATCCACATACCTCCATGAACTGATTACCCATCACAATTGAATCCGATCGTGAAGCTCTGGTTTTCACCATAGAATTCTTGACCTTCATGGAGAAAGACTCATTATTAAACGTCATATTGTGCATGATCTTCACATCGCACTTGAACTTCTCTCCTCATGCATCGGGATGGACGGAACTCCAACTTTGCCTCTGTCGGGTTTATAGGCTGCAACCTCATTTTTAGTTGCCACATGACTTCATCCTGATCCAATTTTCAATGATTTCTCATCAATTGAATAGTCACATGATCCATCAACTGAGAGCTTTGCCATAACAGCTGTGGAGAGAGATGCAGGGTTTGTGTTTCGTGGGAAGAGCACGCGAGCAGCTGAGGAGAGAAGCACGCGGAAGAACGGCTAACGCAGGAAGAGGGAAGCGGCGGCCATCGTTGAAGAGGCTAACACAGGACGATGGTCGGAATGCGGAAGGAAGAGACTGAGTGGTATTTCTATTTTAAAATTAGCATTTGGGTGGTAGGAATGTAATATTTAATTTTTGGATTTTAAATATGTAATATAGATGTAATAAAGTGACATGTATATAAATCTATTTAAAATTTTAATACTTAATATCTATCACTCATAAATTAAATATAAATTCAAAGAATAAAGTATTAAAAATTTATAGAATGTTATGGATGGTCTGAATGAAATATATGAATGATATATTTGATATTAAAGTTGTCTATAGATGTTATATATGAAATATTAATACTTTTGATGCTAGATATATATATTACATGATATAAAGTGGCATATATGTAAATCCCCCTGCAAAAAATTGTAACGCTCAACTTGAAATAGGAAAAAGAAAGAAGTGAATAGTTTCATTTTGGATACTTTTTTTTTATTGTTTTTCAAGAAATTTAAAAAAAATAATAATAGTCAAAAGTTATCTCAAGCAAGGCCAAAGACTTAAAATAAGCAAAAGATCACTTATGAATCAGAAATATTTTCATCTATGACTGAATCCTGCAAACGAGTATTAGTGCTCATTCCCGAGCCAAATAAAAGAAGTCATTAGTCTATTAAGATTTCATTTAGGACGGCTTTCTTATTGCTTCTTAAAACAGCTTTTTAGTACAAAAATTTAAATTTTTGTACTGAAAAGCTGCTTTAAAAAACATTAAGAAAACCGTCCCAATCAAAACAGATCATTCAGAAATAGCACAATAAAAAATATTATTGTAATAATTCAAAGAGTAAAAAAAATTATCAAGAAATTTGCTGACCTCTAGTAAATTTACAAAGCTGTCGCCATCAATATTCACTTAGAATCATAATTTATTTATTTTTTCATTTATGCATTTGATCTCCAACCAAATCATCAAAAAATTACAAGATTTTCAGTTTCTAAGTAATTTTAATAATATAAATCAACATCCATGATTAAAACCCAAATTAAATATATAGAGCTCAACTCATATTTTTGTTGAAAAGTAGTTGCATATTATTAAAAAAATAAGTAACACTGCAAGAAATAAATGGAATATTTAGATACTCAAAAAAAAAATCAACATAATTGTATTTGAATACACTTAAAATTTCTTTGATTTATTTTTAAATTAATAAAGCATATAAAATGTTCTTATTATATTAATTTTAGAATAAATAAAATTATTCTAAGATTTTTTTCTTAAAATATACTTACTTTTAAATAAAAGATGATGCTAAGACCTGCAATGTTTTGTAACGCAGAATGTTGGCTGATGTACCAAAATACAAGATGAGTATATACGTGAGAAGATTGAAGTTGCTCCAGTGATAGATAAGATCAAATAAAGTCATCTTAGATGATTTAGGCTTCGTTTGGGACGGCTTTCTTACTGCTTCTTAAAGCAGCTTTTTAGTACAAAAATTAATTTTTTTTCTTCTAGAAAACTGCTTTAAGAATTAATAAGAAAGGCGTCCCAAACGAAACATTAGTCACATAAAATGTTAGCATTCTAATGACCTGATTATAAGAGTAAATGTACTAGAATTAGCCCATACTAAAAAAAGTAAGAAGTGGATCTCAAAGAAATAGATAAAAATTATTCTTTTTTATTAAATTTAAATAAAAATTGACCGTTAATAAAACACAGGAAAAAAAATGATTCATTTAGCCAATCCCATGTAGTGAAATAAAATCTTGATGTTGTCATCTTAGATGATTTAGGCTTCATTTGGGACAACTTTTGTATTGATTTTTAAAGAAACTTTTCAATACGAAAGTTTCTTGAACGAAAAATTTTTGTGTTATAAAAACTGTTTTAGAAAGCAATAAGAAAGTCGTCCCAAACGAAACCTTAATTAGTAATAAATTTACCATTCTAGACACATACAACATCAACATATAGAACATTGTAAATTTCTTCCTGCATAATTCATCAGATCTCAAGAGAGCATACTAATATGAGCAAAATATGAGTGAATATTTTTTTCATTAAATGATAAGAGAGAATGTCATAACGAGAATAAGGCCCCTCAACAAATTATTACTAGTTTAGAAGAAAAGAAGAGCCCTGCCTCAGATACAGCCATTACAAGGAATGATGAAAGGGAAACTAACCCTGAAACTAAGCTGAGTTCTTCAACCAAAACTAGTACTACAACAATGGCATCCTTAACAGAAGCTGGAAGTGGTAATCTGCCATAAAGAATGCTTCTTCGATCTTCATCGTTTGACGGCCATGGCGGATTCCAAGGTACCTTCAGGAGTTTTCTCAAACACCTTGTAAGCATATTCTGGGTGCTTCAAAAGTTTTTGAGTAGGATCAGACTGTAAATGGACTGGAAGAGTAATCCTCATCTATTAACAGACCTGCCTCACTGTGGCCCTCTTCATAATTCTCCTAGAAATATTCACAATGATGTGGAGATCATATTCACAAAGACGTTAGTTTCATGTCTTCAATTTTTTATGCTTCTGTGGAATAAAGCGAACACGTTGGTTTCCAAGCTCTAAAGTTCTTGATCTTCCATCATCAAAATGGACCGACAGAGAGGAAGTGCCTTCAATGAGATTTGAAACTACTCCCCTTTTCCTGAATACAAAAAATTTGCAGCTCAGAAATTAAAATTCAAAACAAGAGAACGCCAAACAGAAAAAGTGATAATCAAGTTCAGATGTTGGAAGGACTGAAGTCCCTGAACAATTTTTCAATGAAGGCTTTTGTTTTCAATTAGTTAAACAAATTGTTTTTTATATACAACAACAACATCAAACATTTATCTTGCTATATGGAGTCGGCTACATGAATCATTTTTCTCGATTGTGTCTGGTTAGAAGTTAAACTCTCATTTAGATCTAATAAAGACAAATCATTTCTAATATTTTCTAACCAAGTCTTTTTAGGTCTACCGCTACCCTTCTTAACATAAGTCAAATCTAATACCAATGTTTAAAATTGCGTATTCGGGTATTGAGGCGTTTTTCATTCGTGAGGTGAAGCGTAAGCCTCAAGGCGTTTTGAGGCGTAAGCCTCAAAATCAAAAGATTGTGTAAACATAAAATGATAAATTTGTTATATACTAATGAGTGAATAATATAAAACATAAAAAAATATAAGATATGAAGTGAAATCAAAATATCTCAATAATAAGACAACATGAAATATAGTTTAACTCAAAATTCTATGTTTCTAAAATCCCAATATTCTTTTCATTAACATATAATTCCTATTTCCAAAAATACATAGCAATGACATATCACATAAGAACTCATAAGTCATCAGCACTGTCATCACTAAGGGGTTCTTCATTTGAATCATCATTATGGTGAACTGCTCTCTCCCATTCCTCCTCTCCTATAGAGTCCAATGTCGGGCATTTATTTCAAGATTTATGTAAGTTTTAATTTATATAGCGTGAAGCGTAAGCCTCATGCCAGTGAGGCGAGGCGGGCCTCAACCAAGTTGAGGCGCAAGCCACATACAAAAAACTCGAGGCGTAAGTATCGAGGTATTTTTTACTGGAATTGCGCAAAGGCGAGCCTTATATTGCGCCATTTTAAACCATATCTAATACATCTACTTCCCTAACCGGGCCATCGGAAGGCCACCGTTTTATGCGACCAAACCATCTTAGGCGACTCTCTCTAATCTTATCTTCCACTGGACATGATATGAAATGAGCATATACGTGAAAAGGTTGGAGCTAATTCTTTATTAGATTTAAATGAGAAATTAATTTTTAATAGGGCACAATGGAAAAAAATGATTCATGTAGCCAACCCCACATAGTGGGATAAAGGCTTGATGTTGTTATTATTGTTGTAAGCTAACAATAAAATTGCAAATCAAATAATTAGGATATAGCTAGTGATGAGAATGATGATGATGATGACACATGAGTAGCCAAATGGGCATTTAATACAAAAGCGACATCAACAACAATAACATCACGTCAATGTTTAAGTATTTCTTCCACTAAAAAAATAACCTTCAGAGATTATATGGGCTGCTATTTGGTTTATTCCTATCAAATTCACTAATTTATGAATCCTGGCTTTCTATCTACTTAATAGAAAAGACATTTGTGAAGATAATGCATCAAATCAAGCTTGCCTAAAAAAATCTAAAACTTGGAGATATTATGCAGTAGGCAAAACTTAAAACAAGTTCAATCCCGTTGTTATTAAATTTATGCAAGCGCAAGCAGATGATATACTCAAATAAAAACAGATGTCCATGCACATTCAATTCAAATGAAAGAAGCAGAACATAAACTCACCAAGAATCACCTGATCTCTGCTGAACCTCAACCCTTTTCCCAATTGCATCCTTACCAAGCTTTCGCAATATCCAATTTGCATCTACTGCCTCATCTACTTGATGTTCGTGATGCTGTTTTGGTAGGTCCTGATGTTCAAGAGAAGAATTTTTCTCCACAAAAGGCCTCTTTCGCTTAGATCTATGTCCTTTTACAGAGTTCTCTTCTTCACCATGTGAAGCCCAAGAACTTTTCTGTTCGAAATAGGGATTCTTGAATTTCAATTTGAGCAATGGTCTTTCACTTGGGACACCTGAAATGGGTTTTGGGGGTAAAATGTCATTTTTGCCATACTCCAAATTAGGCAGAACCGGGTGTTTCACTGGCTGTTTCCCTGGTACAGTTTCATCATTTCTTAGCCTTGCTTCTTCATCTACCAAGTCTACCTCAGCACCTTTTTTCCCAAATACTGGGCTTCTTAATGAATTCCTTAGTACACTCTCTTGAACGATGTTACCATTGTTTTTTCTATGCATATCAGAAACCTTTCCGAGCTTTATAACATTTTTATGCTTGTCTCCATGTTTTGAACTACTCATTTGGTTAGTATTATATTGTTTGGTCCCTAGGAATGAACAAAGAAAAAGCAAGACCATAAGTGTTTGATTCAGCCTATTATAAATGCATATAAATAATATAAAAATTCACAAGAATCTTTAAAAAAATAAATATTGTTAGAAATATTTATCCAAAAGAAAAGTAAGCTCTTTAAGTTGGAAACAAAATAAAAAGTTAAAGATGTATCAGCAATTCAATGAAAAATATTAAATAGTCAAATACCTTCTCCATCAACATTAACACCTTCAACCTGAGCCTGAGAAAAACCATTCTTGCTATTTTTCGTCTTACCAAGGCTGTTAAATTCGCTGCCTGCACTCAATAAACATACTAGATAAGATAAATGCTAACAACGGAAAGATGAAATGAAAAGGATAATTAGCTGCGAAAGTTACAAAACAAGCTACTAGAATACAGTATTATCCGATCAGATGAAACCGGAAACATGAAGACTTTCTTCCATTCAATGAATGTTCATAATCCGCTCAAAGTTTGACAAAAGCACGGGAAAAAGTTTTGGGCAAATAAAACATGATGAAGAATTATAACTGCTAGAAATAGTTCATTGGAAGGAAACGAAAGGATTGCACGTTTTGATAACATTTCAATTGTCTGGTTTCCCCATCTAATTTCATTGTTTATAATGATGAACCTTGAATAAAGTGATCCAAGTAACATTGTCCTACTGCAATATGTTAGCATACACTTTAAAATATCAACATAACAAGCATATGACTGAAGCTATATTCTAAACCCAATCACAGATATTACACAGAAACATCATTGGCTTTGGGACGGATATTCAAGTAAAGTGTTATGCCGGTCCACCTTGGACCGGCTCAACCTGGACCGGCCCAGCCGGTCCAGGTCTACTGCAGACGGACACAGAGCCGGGCGGAAGAGAGAGGGGGCCAAGGAGTGGGGTCCACTTGCAATTCAAACTTGGGTTAAGTGCTTTTGGAGGGAGAAGGAATGGTAGAGAAGTCCTTTTGCTTTTATTTTGAATTAGATTGTATTAATAGGGAGTTAAGGGGAGATTAGGGTTTCATCTTGAATTGGAGAAGAGTTTTGGTTTCTAGGTTTTCTTGTTTGGGCTCTTGGCGTTGCCGGAGATTGTTGGAGAGTGGTTCTTCCTCTCGAATCGAAGAACATTGTATCTTGCTTTTGTTCGTCTTCTAGTGGAATACAATTGTTTCTATTGTTTTCCAACGTTTTCTCCTTATTCTCTCAGTTTTTTCTACTGTTTGGTGGCTGTTTTTCTATTGAAAACAGTGGAATAATTGTGTTTTGGCAAGAATCCGATAGGAATCACTTGGAATATTCAAGTGGAACCTATCAAATTGGTATCAGAGCGAAGATCCGGACGGTGGGGGGCTGTTTTCCACTGTTTCGCTGCAGATTTTTGCTTTTCGGAAGGGATCCG